TATCATATTAAAGCCGTTACAGTCGTGATTCGAACGACATAGGAAAATTTCCTAAAAAATTCCAAGTTCGAGAAAAACGGGTTTGAAGTTTTTGGTTCATCGTCCTGATTTGAGCGAATAAAGCGAGCGACTAAGCTTACAATAGCGTTTTTAAAACGTGAAAATTTAGTTTTACTCGAGTGAAGTTCGTTTTTTGGTTTGTCAGCGCCCAATTTTTTTTCCTCGTTTTTCTAGCCATTTTTTTCAAGAATAATTTTCCTTTCAATAATAATTTCCTTTCAACATTCTTTTTATGTCACCACGCTGAAAAAAACACTAATTTGAAAAAACTCTTTGTCGTATTTTTATGGTCGGAAAATTCTGTGATACTTGAACAGTAACCGGCTGTCCTTGCTTTATGTGACCTTTTTTATGATCCTTGCAATATAAAATTTTGCGCATCGATTTACCAAATTAAATAATGCTAAGTTTTGATTAGATTATGTTAAAATTTGATAAATCATCGCTTGAATGGCTTGATTAGAAAACTAGCCTTTTGCCCATCCTTACAAAAAGTGTACGAAAATGAAAACTTTCAACATTGTAGTGGCTTGCTATGTAAAATTTGACTTTTTTGAACCAATTCACGTATGAAATATTTCAAGCATTTAAGTTTTAGCTTCTAAGTATTTCATTGACTTGCTTAGAAAAGTTTTGCAAACCAGATCTGGTACAAGTATGATGTTTTGGTCCCTTAAATTTGGACGGGCCCTGAATAAAAGTTTTTAGGCCTAAAAATCTTCGAAAACATAATTCGCATTTGTTTATTTGTTTTTGAAAGTTTCACACAATTTGCGGGACCCAGCCTTCAGACTTGATTCTTCCCGGAACCCAACTATCTTATTTGTACCCCGATTTAATTCAAATCTGAAATGCTTTCTGCGAGCCGATTGAATAATGAAGACGTGCTTGCTAATATGCCTAACACAACATAAACTTTTAAAAGAACTAACAGCTTAGGAACAAGAAAATTAATTAACAAGACTGCTCGTATCAGGGCGAGGCCCTGAATGTTCCGACTGCCTCTTATTGTCCATGGAGCAGAGTAATACCAAGAAAAAATTAAATGTAATGAAACAAAAAATGAATTTTTTTTATAATTTGAGATTTTTTGTGAAATTCATTCCCCCACACACCATATGAAGTACGAAGTGATAGATTTCGCTCCTAGTAACAAATCAATTATGGCAAATCCCGTCAAAAATGGTTAGTTAAAAAGTCGAAATTTGTCTGAAGAAAAGAAACCACTCTCAGCACATATATTCCGATAATTTTGTTATGAAAGTCGGAACAATAACAAATTTTTTGCATCCCCTTTCAAACAACTGAACGTTATGTCAGAAGGACTCATTGGACATGAATAAGTAGTTTCAATATGTATTTGACAGCTTCTAACTAGCGCAAGACTCATTATTCGGTACCAGAATTAGAAAAGGTATCATACAGTGCTGATTTAAATTAACCGGACAAAACGCGTTAAACTTGAAATTTAAAACCCGTTTTTCTCAAATTGGGTTGAGTTTAGGAGAAAACTTATGAAGACAAAACTTGCTTAAAATTTTAGCAGAATTAATATGGTGTAAATTGTTTTGAGAATTTCGGGCACAAAATTTTACCCCAAAAATGGGTTATGTTGGCTTTTCTTAGTTAATCAAAAATTACGCCGAAAATACCCGGCTGATCACAGAAATAATTATATCAAAGTGAGCCCATTACGTAGCCCAACAAACTTTATGAAGGGTGTTTTCTCCAAAAAAAATTGCAAATTGTTTAAAAATTGTTTTTAAATAAAAATTTGATATTTTATATAGGAAAAATGACCTTTTTTGTCTATCAAACAAAAATAAATTAACTTATACAATATTTTGGAGAAAACACCTTTCATAAAGTTTGTTGGGCTACGTAATGGGCTCACTTTGGTATAATTGTTTCTGTGATCGGCCGGGTATTTTTGGCGTAATTTTTGATTAACTAAGAAAAGCCAACATAACCCATTTTTGGGGTAAAATTTTGGGCCCGAAATTCGCAAAACAAATTACACCGTATTAATTCTGCTAAAATTTTAAGCAAGTTTTGTCTTCATAAGTTTTCTCCTAAACTCAACCCAATTTGAGAAAAACGGGTTTTAAATTTCAAGTTTAACGCATTTTGTCCGGTTAATTTAAATCAGCACTGTATATAGAACCTTATAATACTAGAAAACACAACTCAACAAAAACAGATAAATCTTTCACTCTCATAAACAGCTTCAAAGACTTAGAAGGCAAAAACATCGCTATAAGCGATATAAAATTACAATTAGATACCTAGTTTGAAGGAAATTCAAAAACAGCATTGAAGTTTAAACGAAACTCGACCAATTCTCAGAACAATAGATTACAATGAACTTACACAACTTAAACATAAATCAGACCTCAGACCGCTTTTAGAAAGAACAGAATAGAAGTTGATCTCATACACTAATCATTTTAGCAGTATGATTTTTTGTGATACTGATTTTGGATCAAATAAAAACTATAACATGCCTCTAGACACGATTTCTAGCTAATTTCGGTGGTCAGAACGAACAATGAGTTCTTGGGTTGAAGAAAAAAAAGCAGAAAAATGCGAAAAATGGGCTGAATGAAGTGCCGAAAAATGAAAAAATCTAGAGTGATTCACACTTTTTTTTGATGCATTCCAAATCAAGGTGGGGATCAAAAATTAGTGTCCGCTGGGTTAGCCGTTTTTTTTTCTGTGACAAGTTTCATTTGAACATTTTGATGAGTCATTTGTATATGACTCATTTGAGACATTTGATTATTCATTCGTTGCATGTGTATGCCAATTGCGATTACGTAAAAACCCATGAAGTCAATCAGAATGGTGATAATGGGATGGATTGCACACAAATGTATCTTATGCAATGATAGCAAATATTTTTTTTTGTATTTAATCAAATTATTAATATTTGTGTTTCAGTGTTATCAAACAATTTTTTTGTTCCAGTATTTCCTATGAAGTGCATATGCAAGCCGAGATCTTCGAAATGCCTCCAGCTGTTCTGCAGTTCGCTTATGAGACCAGAAGTAAAGTGGTCATTGACACGACACTCTCCATATACGGCATTGAAGAGGTTACAATGTTTTTTTTTTCCACTCAGAAAGCCTTCTAGCTGACACTTTGGGATTTTATCAATTATTATTGAGTTTAAACAAAATGTTTTGGGGCTTAGAACGTGAAAAAGGAATGGAGGCGAAAAACTTACTATTTTGTTCATTTAGCCCGAGATGCACCTGAATTACTTCCGAACTTTCATGTTCATGAAACACTTTCATAGCCAATCGCTGGCAGCTGCAACCAAAAAGAAAAGTAAAAAGTCGATGAAAACACGACTCCTAAGCTTAGAACCTCGTGAAACTTCGACATTGATCCCGAAACCCAAAGCAAAACAATGCATTGCAATTATGGGAAAAGATCCCCTGCCAAAGCATCGGGAAGCGACTCACCCTCTCATTGTTTTAGTAAGTTGAACTTTTCTTACACTCTCCCCCGCCAGCAAAATTTTGCAATCATAATTTTTGTTCATACAATAAGAATTTTTTAATAAAACTTGGCATACTAACCGATAGACTATTCCGAAAATATTTAATTTTCATACTTGACGCTGATGTGAGGGGCAGGGCCTGGTTAAAACAGTAATATGTCGTAAGCTGTCAGAATTCGTCTTACGAAATCAAAATAAATTTAAGAACCCAATTAAATTTTACAATTACAGGCTACTGAGGCGTTCGGTTGCGCCAAATACTCCCAGTTTGCATCTGCCGCAATCAGCTACGAGATATTGTATCAATCGGTAGATCATCAACCAACAGGAAGCCAAAAGCTGCTCTCAAATCAGCTCGTAACTTCCAAGGACGCGAAATTTGCTCGTCTCTTCTGCCTTTTTAAATCATCGTCACCTGTACGTTAAAATTAGTTTCAAATTATGCAAAGAACTTTCTAGCAGAGTAATATGTAAGACCTATCTCAGGATTTTTTTAATCAGAAAGAGTTGCTGCTCTCGCATACAGCAAATTTTTTAAGGTGTTCATTATAAAGCTTTAAATTCCTTAGCTATTATAATGGCGCTTTTCTGTTACACTTGCACGACGGCTTGAAGCTGATTTTTTTCTTTCAATAGGTTGTTAACGTTCAAATTTGATTGGTTGAAATTAATTTCAGCGCACAATCCTGGGTTTTCATTACAAACAGAAGCCTTATTGTCAGTTCAGTAATTTTAAGTCGTATAACAGAAAAGTTTCATAAACGAGAAAATTTTTTTTGCTCTTACTGGAGTTTAAAACTACAATACTCAGTCTAAATTTACCTGCAGTTTAGCCGTAGTGCTCAATTTACAAAAAATTCAAAGTAAACTAGCATGTCCGACTCGTTACGTTAAGTGCATTTTTATTTTTAAAAATTGGACCAAGATGTGCTATGGTTAATTAGGGCACAAACAGCTATAAAAGCTGTTTTGTTTTTCAGTAAAGATTGAAACTAAGCTTTAATTTGGATAAAGATTGCATAAATAGGAAAATCAAAATTCATCAAAATTCAAGTTGAAAGTAAGTACTTTAATACCGATCCCCTGCTGAAAGTAATATGAACTATGAAATACAAACGTTTTCAGACCATTTTTTCTCGACAGTGAAACAATTATTCCAAAAAAAATGTTTGTAATCCGAACCCCGAGTGAAAGGTCTTTATTATGATAATACACTCTATGCACTACGAGTACTCTCCTGAGTCAGACATACCTAATTTTGCGAGACAGCTTAACATCCTGTACCATAGTTTTTTTCCCACACTGAGTGTGTTCGTAACCAAATTCTATAGATTCATTAATTACCCAAGAAAGCTAACGAGCGTAGTGTCATATTACGAAGTTCACTTTTTTGTAACCCAATTTTGCTAATAACTAATAAAAACGCTAATTTAGTGGCAATTTTCCTGGTATAGCAATGGCAATTTGTACGTGCTATATTAAGGGCTAGTGTTAGACGATCATCAAGTGATCATGGTACAGGCGCGACGACGTGAGACGCCAAACCTGTAAGTCGAAACTCTAAACCTGTAAGTAGTAGGATCAATGCCGCTTGTTAGAACGTTTTTTTAAAATTTTTGCTTAATTCACATTTCTTCAAAAGCTTCGTTAGAGTTATTTTTTGCCGTTTTACCGCCTGTGTTTGCCTTTGTAGAACTTGTACTTCAGGTTTCTCAATAGAAAAGCAAAATTATGTAGCAAGCTTTAATTTTGTTTCGAAGTATTGTATTTAGGGACATACAGTGATTTAGGAGAGCCCAGAAAGTCAATTTGGTCGACCTAAAAAAACGTCGACAAAATTTTAAATTCGACAAAATCCGCCCCCTCCGCTCGACAAAATCCTAGATCCGCCCCTGGCTTCGACCCTAGCCTTTCCTAATAATCGACAGACAGTTACTAAAACTAAAATAGTTTCTCAAATAATTTTTAATATCAAAGTCTTTTCTTATCGGAACTAAACGTTCCACTGGCATAACAACCTATTTTTTTTGTTTGTTTTTGGTTTTTACGTGGGACAGCTGTTGTGATATGTTTTTCGTTCCACCAAAAAACCGCGTTTTTCCAGAGCTAAACTCACTCTAAAATAAGTATGTATTGACTACACAAGCATAATTGATGACGTAAATTGATGACGTAAGAGTCGACAATTGATGACGTAAATTAGTATCAAGGAGGAACTCTTTGGGTGGTGAAGGCGTCGAATCCCTCTGAGGTGAAAGCGTCTCCCCCTCTGATTCCGCTACTGTTTGTAGATCGGAGATGTCATCAAATACATAGCGGAACAAATGTATGATTGCAAGGGACTTCTACTGGAGTATTGCAGAGGGTTCTTATACAGCAAGAACTTCATGTGAGCTTCCAACATTTTTTAAAATTCTTGTACTCATTAACAACATCTTTGGAAGTACTACCATTTGACGTATTAGTACGCGGAAGTTTTTTTGTCTGTTCTACCAGGCTGTGAAAAAAATGACGAGCGGTCTTAAACTAGGTCTTGAATATCCGATATATTAATGCTCTTTTTTCATGCTTTTTTGCCCTGATTGGGAGATTTTTAAGGAGAGTTTGCATGGTTTTAATATCTTGCGTGACAACCAGTCTGAAAACCTCGACCAGATTTTGCTTTTAAAGGAGCAAAGTTGTTAGTTTTTTGGGCAATTAATTGGGTTTCTTTGTGAGTTTAGGTTCGACAAAGCGTACAGTGCAATCAAAGATATCAGCGAAGACCTGTTTGCTGATGTGTGTTTGCCCAGTTGGCCTGGAGAAACAGCTAAGATTGATGTTCTGCGCTTCTCAAAAATCACATGCGAAGATGTGAGTATTGATTAAGTTCCGCTCGTGTCGAAATACAGCTCTAAAAATGTTACGATCTTAGCCCTGCTAGAGCGGTTAAATAACTGCCAACAGACCAACTAACGTTCTAGTTGCGACCGAAACGCCCAAATTTTGTCAAGATTTTTGGGAAGTTTCAAGGCTGCAGGCATTTTTAAACTGCGCTTTTGAAAATTGGACCAACATTCTCAAACCGCGTGAATAAATTTTACCTGTGGTTTTTCTAATTCAAATTTCAGGTTTAATCTACAAGGCTCACTATGAAAAAATTTGAATCAGAGTGTCAACAAATCACCTGCGTACCTCAAACCTTACTGCTTTCGTTTTGTTAAGACACGGGATTCTAAATTGAGCGCCTTGCAACAACTGAAGGAGAGATGTGTGAAACCCCCTGCTCCTTTGATTACTTGTGTCTACCCTAATTGTTCCCTGACTAGAAGGGAAGTGTACCAGGGAGACCCTCTGACGTCACAATTCGAGAGTGTTTACAGTTTGGAGTGCAGTGACAAGTGTCAACTTGGATACCATTGTAATTGTTGGAAGAAGTTAAAAATGGGAGTTGAAAATTCTGTAAGTCCTTTAAATCGCCATAGAAGTTTAGTATCTTAAAAGTAATTTCAGGAACTAGACGCCGTTCAACCGAAAAGCCAGTTCATGTATTTTGTGAACAATTGTTTTTGGCCGAGGTTTTTTTTTCAGCAAAAATGTAGATATGAATTCAAAATAAAAACTAAATTATTCAACTGTAAGACAGGCTCGTTATAAACCGGCAAAACAGGTAGAAACATTATGAACTTATAATCATGTTGAAATGTTAATTTTGTTCTCGCATAATTTTTCAAGCTGCCTGGAAAGAACTGCGTAACACCAGACTGCGCAGGTACGATCAAGTCCATTTCAATTATAGACCCAAAAGATGGAAAGGTCAAATCAAAATTTGAGGCCAAGCCGAAGATAGAGCCGAACACGCAACAAACCAACTCTCAATGTAAGAAAAAGAAAAATAGAAAAGCGAAACACAAAGAGAGCTCAGATCAGACACAGCCGAAAGAAGATGTGAAAAAAACTCCTCTACAGCCGAAAGATTCCAAGCAAGTGAACCAAGAAAAACCTCAAAGTGTGGAAACTAAATTAGAATCGACTAAAAACACAACTGATGCAAAAGCGTTAGATGCATCGGCACCCGGTGATGATGTAAAGTCACGTGAGGTGAAGAAAGGGTACGAATTGGAGATACCAGACCCCCTACCTGCTGACAAGTTGAAAATTTTACCGCGTGCCGAATCGAATAGCAATCACTCGGGTGACGTCCGACTAGATCCTTCGGGTGGTGCCATTCCTGTAAGTACGCCGGTCTTTTGTTTAGAAAAATTTTTGTATCACATGTTGGATAGTTTTGAACTATTTGCACATCCAAGATTTTTTTAGTATGTGGAAAGTTTGAATTGTTTGTCTGCCATCACTGCGCATTCGAATTAGTCGATAGATGACATTTTTAGCGGGCAGTGTCGGTTGCAGTTTGAAATGAAATTGTTTTTTGCGTGACTGAAATCACCTTTTCACTTGACCAAGTCAAATTAAGTATTTCGATGCTGGTGTTTTTACCTCATAGATCTAAAACTGATTTTTTTTTCTACTTTTCCTATCAAATTTTGTCTTAAACACTTAAAAAATCAACCACTCTTATGATGTTAAGTTTTATGATGTTAAGGTTATACTATGCCTTTAACACTTAAAAAATCAACCGCCCTTATCATGTTAAGATGTTAAAATTTTTTCATTTTCCGATTAGAATGAGTCAAACTCATCCAATCATTGCTAAATGTGCCTGAATAGCTCAAATTTCGGACCAGTTTTTCTCGGTTTTCAGATATTTTTTACTGAAATTCGAGAAGCGATCAATAGTGCTTTAATATGATATCAAACTTGAGTTTCCTAAAAACTTTCCTCGCCGCACTTCAACTTAGACAAAAAAAACACCCTACGCCATGTTTCCTTCCAGTAGCTTTTTCGTGACGTGCTCAAAACAATAATAAAATTTTCCAATCTCCAATAAGAAAACTTTATTGTTCGAATTTGATCTTGTTTTGTTTTTTCAGTCGAGTTTTCGTGGTCAAAATAGGAGCTTTCAATAAAATTGTTTTGATCACCTAAATGTTAAAAAAAATTTACATTGAATTAATATCCGTTACCTCATTCTAAATTTGAAAAATTTTAATAGAAGTGATATTTTTTGAACGTAGTGAATACTCACTTATATAGGTCTTAGTAATTTATTTTTCAGGAAAAAAGTCTTACAGTTTTTTCACGGTAAATTTTGATTTTATGTGGTTTGAGTTCTGATTTCTTTATAAGTTGAGTATATTTCATTTGTAAAGGAAGGAAAACTCCCCTAGCAATTGTGTATAAAACGTGATCGACTTCTAGTTTCGAAAGTAGAATTTATCTATTGATCCAGTTTTATTAATAAGTGTAAATTTTTATTGAAAAAGTGTCAATCATAAACTTTTCTAGAAATTCAAAGAGCTTTAAGGAGGCCAACTGTTGTATCTTCGGAATTAAAAGTTGAGATTTTTCAAAAAACCAGTCAGTGTTTTTTCCTATTTATTTGCCTTCATTGACTCTTTCCAAACTGTCAAACCTTTCAAAGTAGTCGTCACAACTTCCTTTTAGCAAGAAATTTGTGTCTGAATTTAATTTCGCTCTTTAAATTCTGAAAAACTGACAAATTTTATTGCCTTTTCCCGAATTTTTGAATTCTGAAAACGGATTGACTGACCATAATGTCGGACATTTGGTCCCTCTGACATGAGGGATTCACCCTAAACGGATCATATAATTAATCCCTGATCAGGTATAAAAAGCAGAAGCGTAAGAGAATTGCAATCTTGTTTTCTAGAAGCGGAAGAAGAATCGGAATTCAGTCTCAATATCTGAATATCAAATGTTGGACTTCTCATCCAATCCTTTCTCACCTCTGTAAGTGGACCGACCGCACTTTCATTTTAAAAATCGTATATAACAAAAAAATTAGGTCAAACTATTTTTTCATTTAGTGCCGACGATTATTCGCCAAAGTCAACTTCACTCGAATCTTCCAACGATTTCGGATCTACTCGAATTGAAAACGGTGTATTAAAACAAGACCCGAATAACAACAGTGTATCATATTCTGAAGCAGTTTATGGTCGAAAGATACCCGGCTTGGAAAATGTTGTGAATGCTAAAAATCAAAAGTCTGCTTCTAGAGCAGTTCCTGCAGCGACTATGCAAGATGATCCAGATCCTTTTGAGTCTCAGACGATTGCGCACAAGTTCATATTTGAGTAAGTTCATATTTGAGTAAGAAGAAAAACGCTTTTTCATTTCAGAGTGGTAAACATAAATAATTTCATAAAGCAACAAATGAGATTTGATTACCATTTTTTCTTCAAGTACTTTTCACTCGCATACCATCCCGAATCTAGATTTTCCAAAAAAATAGGCTTGACTGCAGAAACGTTCTTGAAAATGGCAACTGCGTTTGATTTTCTTAAATTACTTTTATCATCACTAACGAATTTAGTGGGAGCGGGCGCTCGTCTCGGGGATTCGACCCCCTGACCACCCAAAGAGTCCACCTTTGATACTATTTTGAGACATTCATTTTTGGTTGACCAACCCTAAAATTTTTCTAAACACAATTTTTTGGTCAAAACTTCCCGAAAAGAGCCCAAAAATATTTTTTTTTGGCATTTTTCTACAAAATTGACTGCGGTTCAGAAAATTTGGTCAAAATTGCGTTTTTGTTAAGATTTGGGCGAGCTCGGAAAATCAGTCCTTTCTCAAGAAAATCCTGTATCCGCCCCTGCTTATCACCTATAGATGAATACTTCCGGGTTTGAATTTTTTTTTTGATTTTCATGATTAAGAGTAATGAACGTAGTGAAAACTCTTATATAGGTCTTGCTGGCTGATTTTTTTGTTTGCTTTTTTTCAGGAAAAAGTCTTAAAAATGTTCACGCTCAACTTTGATTTTTCGCGGTATGACTTGTGATTTCTTTTCAAATTCAGTGCATTTCCGAAGGCAAACTACATTATCGAACAGCAAAAATATAAAGGTCACGAAAAACGCGATCGATTTCTAATTTCGAAAATGGAAATTAATTATCAGATTTCTTAGCGAAATAAAAGCTTCACCTATTAATCCAGTTTTCTCAAATTGGCTTAATTTTAACAAAAAAGTGTTCTGAATAAATTTTTCTGCAAATTCAAAGAGCATTTATTTTTTTTCTTCGAAATTCAAAAGTTGAAGTTTTTTGAAAAACCAGTCGGTTTGTTTTCAGTTTCTTTGCGTTCGTAACTATTTTCCAACTGTTAGTTTGCTATGTTTTCATTTTCCGGGTTTCATTTTTTTGGTTCAAAGTTTTGTTTGCTTTTGAACACACTTCAATCTAGAGCTACATTAGATGCGACTTTGAAAGTACAATTACCTATTTACCGTTTGTTCAACACTATTTCAGCGAATTCCGGACTCTATTATTGCAGAATGGTCCTCTTAGAGAAGCTGACACACCCTTCGTCGAAATGTGTGAAACTGTCAAACAGTTTCCAGACTGTGACGAAATCCTACACGATTACCATGATAGCATCATAGAATTTTTGACAAATAGTCGTTGCTTTTGGTTCGACCAATCACAGCGCAGATTGATGTTGGCTTCTCAATTAGATTGTAATCAGAATGTTCTAGAAGCAAACGAAGAGAGCGATTGGAAAATTTTTGGGCAGAAAGTACTATCTTCAAACGAAAAAGGGAAACGAGAATTATCAGATGAACATGTGTTTGCGCCGAGAGAAAACGTGATTCCATTGAGATTTGAAATGAAGTCCAAGAAAAATAAAGGGTTAGTGTTAAGTGTCATTGGCAAAGATAAACTAACCCATTGGTCAAAAAAAAAATTAAGTGACATTGCCCCCCCACCCACCCACTGTTTTCAAATTTTCCATTTTTTCAAGTTGCTTTTACGTGATATTTTAGCTGAATGCGTGATGTTATGATCTAGTATGAAGAAAAAATCTGTTCACAACAGTTAGTTTGTTCAGCATGCCAAATTTCCTTGCATTATGACTGATTCAATGATTTTTTCAAAATTGAATCTCAAATGTGGGGAAAAGTCGAAAGGAGCCTTACAAAATATTTTTATCGGCTAAGTTATGCATCCCAGCACATTTTTTGTTAGATTTTCACCAAATCGAGACTGCTAACTTTGCGAATCTTTTTACCTCCCCAAACGACTTACAAACATACCCACTCAATAATTGAGTGTCTCTTTTGAAAAAATAATTAAATGGTGGTATCTGTGATTCGCATAGGATATGTGAAATTTTATCAGACCTGTCTAAGCATAGTCTGTTGCTATTATATTTTAAGCATAGTCTGTTGCTATTATCTTCCCAGATTCAAGACTGAGTTATTTGTTGAGCAAAGCTCTTTTTAGCGATTCAAGGCCGTTTTTTTAAGTTTTAAGTAGTGTCGCTATTGCAGCCGAAATTGGCCAGGTTGTGGTTGACCTGAAGCTTTAGGTTAGTTGAGAGCTCTTTAGCACACACTATCATTGCTGTGGCATGGCTATTCTTGCTATCTCAAAATGAACGCCCTACAGTTTTAGAGAATTGAAATAATATCCGACAGATATAATTATTTAAAAAGCAAATGTCTAGACATCAACGGAAATTAAAACTGAAATAAACATAACGTCGAAGTTTCCTAAAACACAGTTTTAGCTCAAAAACTATAACCGCGGCGGGCAGCTGGATTCCAAAGTGGAATATGCACACCAATGGCAGGATTTTAAGCATACTCCGGCAAAGAAAACCAAGTTTTGCGAACTTTTTGATTAGCTTCTGGAGTTCTTACGCATCTTTTAGTGCAGAGGTTTATTAGACTTGTCTATGCATAATCCGTTTTTTATCTTTTAACATTCTAAACTGAATTATTTTGTTGAGCAAAGCTCTTTTTTGCGACTCAATGCCGTTTTTTAATTTCCAGAACTTCCACGTACCACTTTTACAGCCGAAATTTGTCACGCTGTGGTTGACCTGAAGGTAGAGGTCAACTCAGAGCGAGTCATCACATACTATCATTGCCATCGAATGACTATCGTTGCTATCTCAAAGTGAACGTCCTACCACTACAGAGTTGAAATAAGTTCGGACAGACAGAATTAATTAAAAAGAGCAATTATCTAAACAGCATTGGAAATTAAAACTAAAATAAATTAACGCCAAAAGCTCATAAGGCACAGTTTTAGCTCCAAAAGTGTAACCACGGCGGGCAATTGCATTACGAAGTCGACTAGGCACGTCAATGGCAAGATTTTGAAGACAGCTTCTGTTGGAGTTTTTATAGGTTCTGAAGCTTTTTTCTAGTGAATAATTTTTCGTCCCATTTGCAGTATGGGGTGGGGAATTGCCTTGTTGAAAAGCAAGCGTTCTTCTTAGGGGGCTTAGCATGTCCACACCAGGGAGTAGAGAGTTTGGTCATGTTTTTGCCGCATAATGCTGGGCGTTCATTGTCGAATAGAAAGTTTCGATGCAGCCAAAAGCAAAAAAGAAAATTACTCCAGACTCACATTTCCTCCCCTCAAAATATGGTTATCGATTGAAAATCGTTCTTCAAATTGTTCACTTGTCCGTCTTCCAAAATAGATTTCCGGTTTTTTTCTTGTTTTTCTAAGCTACACAGCCGTTTTGTCCGAAGATATAACACAAATTCAGTCAAAATTTAACGAATCATGTGCATAAGATATTCGTTGCTTTCTTCATTGTGACTTCAGTAAGTTTTGCGAGGCTTTCCGGTACAGAAGTCTTGTTTTTTAAAATACGTCATCGATTAGTAAGTCTTGTAACCGGAAAATTGTTGCTCCGAGTTGCTTATGTTTTTCTGCTATTAATTTCCAAACTTTGAGTAATTTGATCATTTTCAATTAAGTTTTTTTTCTAGGGGCGTTTGTTGTCTAAAAACTTCTTGATAGTCGTCTTTGTGAACCATCATAAATAGCAGATTTCGATTTCACAATTTTTTTGCCAATCGTTTATAGTCAAATCCGGATTTTTTTCGCAGTATTTAAAAATTAGGCTAGCACAATCATCGGATGATCGACGACCTTTCATTTTGAGTTTGATCTGACAAAAGTTTCAAAGAAGTTCTGCTTCAGATTTAGCATGCAATAAAACTTCTAAAAGCTTTTACTGCTCATTTTTATTAATTCTGTCTGTCCAAACTTTTGGCTACTAATTATATTTGCTAAGAGCTACTTCAATTTGACTTCATAGTATAATGAGATTTTTCATAGCGAACCACTCTTCAGTACACATTTTTTTATTTCAAAAAAGAAAAAGTTTGAATTGAAGATTTTTTTCGTGATGTAAAAAAAGCAGTAACACGCAATTTCAGTTAATATCATCTGAAAATACAAACATAAAATATTTGCAATGGTGAGCGCGGGGGGGCTTGTTTTTTAAAAACCCCGTCCGTAATAAGTGCAGGACCAACCGAGGGGAGGGGAATGTCATCTAATTTGACGTAGCTGGCTGGTTCCACCTTGTGGAGGCGGACGACACTGCGACCCCTCCAACCGTGACCGAAGTGGGATTCGAACAAACGACCCGCATGTCGAGAGACATGTGCCTTACCCATCGGTCATGGCTGCTCAGTGGTGCGTGTCTGTGTCTGTTTGTGTTTGTCTGAGTGTGTGTATGAGGGGGGATTTGAAGCTGGAGTACGGAAAAGAGGAGGGTGTGGAAAAAAGCAAGGTGCAAACAAGTTTTTAAGCTATTTTCCTTTTAGGCCGAACGATTTCAAAAAAACGCAGCCGACGGACATTCAACATCAGGTCAGCCAAAAGAAAGCCAACGAACCTTCTGTGACAAGCATCCCCATTCCAACTACGACTGACTGTTTTCCACTGCCTGTCAGCCAGACATCTATTTCGTTCGAATCAATCAGTATGTCATCCGAAACAGCTTCGGTAATTTCGGATGGTTGTCATTCAGATTTCGACAACAACAGCGTCTCGAATCGTCCTGTCGCTCAAAGTCGCGGAGTCTTTGATGTAATCAGAAGTCGGCGGCTTCAAAATGACAAAAACTCGGCAGGGAATTTTGTACAGTCGCGAAGCCGAAGCAGAGCCGGGTCGTCATTCGGATTCGGATCGGAATATGATTCGCCGAGAAGCATGAACGAATTTGAAAATGACTTGAATAACAATCGAAACAAATTCACTCCGTCTGAAGAAAGTTTTCAGTTCGAAATTGCAACTCCAGTTCCAAAACGATCTGAAAATTTCCAGTCTCATCAAGAAAATGAACAAAGCAGCTCGTGCCAAGATGCATTAGCTTTTCCGGCTATATATCAACAAGCGAATATCATCAGTGACGAAGTTTATCAAACGTCGAGAAGAAATCCGAACGTTATGTTTCAGTCGACTCCTTTTAACATTCCAAACTATTCAGACGTTCCTCAAACACCCAATATGAACTCAATGACCGGTCGATGCGTGAAGAACGATTTGGATGTTTTGATGGCTCAAATAAAATTGAATCAAGAAAAGGAAGATAGAGAAAGAATGGATCTGCTTCAAGCTTTGAAGGGCGAAGACTATTTAGAAGATTAGAAAAAAAGTATCAAAATTCTGTGCATCAACAAGATCATTTTGAATGATTCTGCTTTCAGAAGTATCAATATTGTGCTTTAGTTTGAGTTCAAGTGGGCCTTGGTTTTTAAAATGTTAGCTTTTGACGAGGTCAATTATTTAAAAGATTTGCGTGAAAAATTGTAAAAGTTTCAAGAAATGGTTGATTACAAAATTTTGATTGTAATCAGTTATCAACGAAACCATGGTGCCATATAAAATCCTTAGTTAATTTTTAGCTTAGAAGTAGATTAGTTAGCCTGAAGCAACTTATTGACATTTATTTACTTGTTGTGCATCATTGATGTTTTGTTCCAGTTAGATACATTCCTTTATGAATACATTCTGTCTTTTGTTACATGTGTTTGCTTTTTGACTCTGTCTATACTAGTTACTTGACGATACTGCAGTTCATCATGGCATAACAAAAAATGATTAACGTGAAGAAAATATATGAGTTTTTTCTTGACGACAGCGAAGTTTTTAAGTGATTAATTTAGTTCGAAAGATCGAATAGGTCATTATACAATTAAAAAGAACAATTTTCGCTGCTATTCAGCTAGTCAAATTTTGGTTTTGGAGCTCATTTATAATAAAAAACTTTCGGACTGTTACAATCAGGATCATTGCTTTGAATATATGCTTTGGTGATTGCCCAAAAACATGCTTTTTTCAACTCGAACATAGAGAGGCAGGCAAGGCAGCGAGCTTGAGATAATTTTTTAAATTCACATGAGAGAAGCAATATATGATGTATACGTTGATACTTATCATAGAAACCCCTCATGTACTCAACTAGTATATTGCTTCCTGCACATAAAACAAGATAGGGAATAGGTTTTCCCTTCTAATAGATTTTTCCATGTATCAAGATTGGAAAAAGATAGTTTCCATGCATTTACTATAAGAGATTAAAATTAAAGAGACTGCTCCTATATCAGGGCAAAGCGGTGAATGTTCCGACTGCCCCTTAATCCATAACGAAAAGTTTTGGGAAAAGAAAATATTGAAAATTATAAGTTTTGGACAATAGCAAAGATCAAGTGTGAAAATTTGGATCGTACCAAGTTTTTACGACCGATAAGCTAGCCTCAATTCAATTTGGAATGATTTTGCTGCGCGGGATAATTCGCCACGCGTAAATAATTTGCGTTATATTTTCATGATTATGGAAAAAATTTTCAAAGCGCACCAAATAGTCCAGAGATGGGCGTCCTTCATACTAGAGGGACCGAGTGCTTGAAATTTATTTTGTCATATTTTCAGCTAATCAGAATTTAGTATTCAAAAATCTCAGGGAATTCGCGAAAATCTCAAAAAAGCAAATAATTCCAGGCCATAAGTGTTAATATTAACCGATTAGGTAAAAAGTAGATGAATGAAAATATTGCCGGATCGATGGCGGATTGGAACAAATTTAATATTTCAAAAATACCGATTTAAGAAAAAAAAACCAAAAACTAAATTTATTATATCTGCATCTATTATATTGTATTTTTTTTCTGTTAATATTGAATTCGATTTAGTGAGAACGCATAGCAATATTGATTGGTTGAACTTTTTCCAGCATTCTGTCCCTCTAGCATGAGAACCCTCCCCAGTCCAGAGCATGGACCAATTGGCAATTTTTAAACTTCCAAAACTTTGCAAAAAATGATCGGAGGTAAAGTTTTTTTTCAATTTGATTTTAGGTAGTCGATATCTTCAATGGGTCATAACATTTTTTATTAAAAACACTTATTGCGATCGCTGAAAATTGACAGAGTAAAAAAACCACACTAAGCATAAATTTTCCGTTTTCTTGGTAAATCGGAACAAAAAAGTTTTCAATATTTATTAGAAACCAATTTTCAATTTCACATTTTTTTTTTTTGTCGCGCAGCTTTTCTCATTTTTGAATTTAGACTATTTAGAGAGTAGGCACCCCTACGCTTTAGCATTTCAATCATACATTGTCCTTTGAAATGAAAACGCAATGTAGTGGCTTTAAAAAGTTTTATAAAAAAATGAAAGACATGAAAATAAAAATCCATCTCAATACATGTATCTTCATACATTTTATATTTTCATGTCTTTCCTTTTTTCAAATTTTTGAAGCCACTTCCTTGCGTTTTCCTGGCCTCTTGTGATGGCGAGTTTCATTGATTAGATGGAGGGATAAAGACAGAACTGGGCGTTCATTCAAAAAGTTTCCAAACTGCGCAATTCAAAATTCTCTAAGACCATTTGAAACAACAGGTTTTGTGAAAATCAACTTGGCTGACCTTGCCATTAAATTTATTGCCATTGTTCTGAGTTCTGCTGTCGTGGAACGAGTTTTTGTCAATGTGGATTGTTCACACTAATCTCCGAACCGATTGAGACACAAAAATGTCAAAGCTTGCCTCTTGTTTGAAGGCTTTGAATGGCTCAAATAAAATTTGAAAACTTTGATTTTATAAATGTTTTGAAACAGTTTTGAATGTTTTTTTTTCTAAAAATGTTTTCTGTCAATTTAAAACACTCTCTAAGGCTCCCTGGTCGTCGCTTCAGTGTGTGAAGCTTTGCTTCTGCATAAACTTTGCGGCCTGGCAATTGACACGTTCTATAAAAATTAGCAGAAATTTCCACGTTGCTCTAAGCTTTGTCACTTTTCCACTTATTGATGCAAATGAAGAAGTATTGGAGCAGCTAAAGCAAAAACTAGAGCTTCACGTCAATTTTCATCAGTTTTCGAATCAAGCATGTTTCTAGAGAGCCCATACGTCTGATTCTATACATCTGAATTAATAGTCTTGTTTTTTCTTATGTCTATCAACTTCTTATTGTATCTTTTTTCCATGTAGTTTCCCTGAAAACAGATAGTGGAAAACTATCTACAAGTATATTGCGTAGCGAAAGCTTAACTAAACAATCGACTTGATTTTTTCGAAATTTTTTCTTAACTTTTGTGCAACACTAGCAAATCGTGAACTTTTTTTTATATATCAATTTCTGCTTTATATATAAAAAAGATCCAATATGTTTGAACAATTTTTTTTCGTGCTATGAAATCGTTGCGCAGGCCAAAAGTTGAATTTACTATAGCTTTTGTGACGTTTGCTCATGAGATTTTCACTTCATAAAATTTTTTAGCTAAAATTGTAGAATTTCTTGGATTTTCTAAATTGTAGATTAGGTGTATATATATTTACCAAAAGCCAATCAAGAACAGTTAATGGCTGTTAAGAACAGCAAACTTTTCTTTACGGCCGTAATCGGTCCTGACTTCCCGGTCGCGTTTTGTAACTCGCCTTCTTCCTAGCTTCTTGTGTTGTCAATTTGTTTTCCGATCGCGTGACTTTTACTTCCTGAGTTTTTGGTCTGGGGTTTGGTCCTCCCTTGTTCGGCTTTGCCCTCAATGTCCCCTAGTTGATTCAGCTTCCAAAGTCCGTGTCCTTTGAAGTGTCCGAGCCCGTGTCCGTGTGCTTTTTCTATCCTCCAGTTGAAATGCGAACTACTCAACATGCCACGGTAATCTGCCTTTCTCCCTTCTCTTTAGGCCATTGTTATTTTTTTGTTTTTGAAACACTTCTGCGAACGGTTTAAGCTGTTGGTGCAACTTCTTTTCTTTGCACCGTCGTGCAGTAACTAGCGAGCTCCATGTTACTTTCGACGGTGATAATATTTGCCCGTTTTGAAATTCCGTGCATCCATTCTCGCTGGAAGGTGCTTATCTGCTTTCATTTAAGTTTCTTCTCTTTCATTAGCGTCGCTTTCATTAGTGTATTGGGACGGTGCCTTTTGATAAAGATTTTGGCTTTTTTTCGGTCTCTGTTTTGACGAGTGCCCCATTTTTCTCATTCGTCTCAATTTTTTTTTCAATTCGACTGTATACTGTTGCAGAAACAAAAAATACAGTTTACTTTTCTCTTTTGTATATGTTTAGTACATTGTAATTTTTTCCGGTTGAGCTTTCTTCGACCAGTCTATTGCTATAGCAATTTTCAATCTCGCTATGAAGTAACTTGGAGTGAGAATAATCGAAATAGTTTCCTTTCTGATTGAGCTGTGCTGGTTCGATACGTCGACTGTTTATGAAACCAAGTGCTTCAGAAAACTTTTTTTAATCGACACTTCTACAAATTTCTCTTCTTACCCCGATTCTTCTCATGGATCCCCCGATGGGTCTCTTGAATGATAACCTAAAGTTCCCGATTCTTTACGGGACAAATGACAAATGAATAATTTTGAACTGATCTAGCAGTAACCTATCAACCCATCTAGTCAATTTTTATTGGTAGGTTTTGTTTGCTCGATTTGCTTCAAGGGCTGATAAAAGCGCTTGCTGGTTTATTTAATATAAAATCATCTCCGAAAAGCTATGTTTAACTCGACCTATTGATCAGATTACTGCTAGCTTTTGTAACTGATCCATTGATTCTTTCTTTGCCTAGTATTTGAGGTATCTTGATGCAAAGGATTTGAGACCCATTCGTTTTTTTTCCGATTTTTGTTCCACTGTCGCGCCGAGACCATTGATGCCAACGCCGCGTTTTACCTTTATTCCCCGGTTCGGATCGATTAACTACTTTTTGAAATACTTGCCACCGCTTCTTTGATTTTTTAAAAAGGTTTTGTATTTACAGCTGTTTAATTAAATTGTCTTTGTTTTATTGAGTTTTTTTTATTCTCTTCGTATTTTCTAAATCAGTCTATTCTGCAGGCATTCATTTTTTTGACATTTTTAAAGCTAGATTTTTCTCGTCTTCTTACATAACATCTGTTACTAATTAGATGTGCTTTTATCCCCACATTAAGATACAATACGAAAGTCGTCTGGAAATCAGAATGTAATTTTAGCATTGTTTAGGGTACGACCAATAGATTTCTAGAAATCTGCTGGCATGTCAACCAGCCCATAGAAGCCTTTCAGGACTCCGTACGTTCTTGTTAAGTTTTCCATGAAAAAATCTAATCTGCTGGTTCTGCAGCTATTTTTAGTTGACTGTATGCGTATTCTTAAACATCTAAAACTGAAAAAGTAATGTTATCATTTCTTCTTTTGTCACTACTTGGCTTACCCTATCAAGTAGCTGGCTTACACTTGGCATCCGGATATTGTTTTAGTATGGTTGCCAATTTATGCGCCTCCCGTCTAATGCCAATTTGATTGTGTCATCACTTT